CAGCGGCTTGGAGGCGATGGAGGCGCAGTCCAGGTGCACGGACACGGCGTGGTCCTGCACGGCCAGCACCACCTTGTGCCAGCGCCCGTCGAACAGGGACGCCACGGCCTTGCCCGCGAAGATGGCGCTGACAAAGTCGGCACCCGGAGCCCGGGCCTGGAACTCCAGGCTTCTCTCGGGGCCGTGCACGGACAGGGAGAGCTGGGCACAGAGGGGACAGCGCTCAGGGACGGCTCCTGGCCACTCCTGGGGTGTCCCGGCACGTTCCCGGGCTGTACCTGGGGGTATCCCTGGCGGTCGGTGACCTGGAAGAGGTGCCAGTGCTCCCCGGTGCTGTTCTTCTTCAGCAGCAAGGTGAGGACCAGGGTGAAGGTGGGGGGCAGCCCCCGGGGGAACACCTGCCTGTGGGGACAGCTCTTGGGGTGGCTGGAGCCTACGGGGTGCTCAGGGCATGCAGCTGGCACCCAGGCTGGTAGCACCCACTTTCAGGTGGCAGCAGCACCCCAACAAACCCCCACCCACGCCCCTGTGGGTCCTGCCGTGTTCTGTCCCCACTGGTGGCACCCCAGGTGGCATCACAGCGGGTTCTGCCCCACGCCGTGCACCCCAAAGATGTTGGTGAGGCTGCAGAGCCCAGGGTTGAGCTGGCACCCCAAAATTTTGTCACTGTAGAGCCAGGAAATGCATCCATCATCCCCAAGGCGGCCCTGGCAGCTTTTCCCAGCTCGCCCACAGCTCATTCAACCACTGGAAGGAAATATTTCCTCCAGGCTCTGCTCCGCTCTGGCCTTGGCTCCACACCCGCGGCTTTCCAAACCACTGCCCTGGAGCTGCACCAAGGGATGGGCACTGGGACGAGGCCAGCGGTGCCCTCTGCTCTCCATGGGGCACGGGGACACCCTGACGGGGCACCCCCAGGATGGCACAGCCCGGGCTGGCGCCGTCTCCAGACACGCCAAGGCTGGATTTGGGATGCCAGGAGCCCCCGGCCAAGAGCAACACCAGGCTGGAGCATCCACCCTCCCTCCCGAAGCCATCCCGGGATTTGGCTGCCCAGGTTGGATCTCCTGGCCCTCCGGAGAGCCCCATGCCCACAGGGCTCTGTGCCAGCCCCGGGGCAATGCAGGGACACGCTGCTGCATTTCCTGCAGGAGCAGCTCCCGAGGACGTGGATCCGCTGCCACCCCGCCACGCCGCAGCGTCCCTGCCAGCCCTGGCACCGCGGGCACCAGAGGCAGAGGGGACACAGGCCAGTCACCCTGTGCCCCCCCGGCAGCCCCCCAAAATCCTGTT